ATTCAGCACCCCGCACCGCAAATCTTCCAGCAAATGCGTTGTCCTACCATCTGCACAGATGTCAGTCGATGTGAAATTGGAAGTTTTTCGGTGACCACAAACGGAACACTCCGGCGAGTTTCGGCGATTAGCTATGACGTCGAGATCTTGACCCAAGACCTGCAACAACGATTTCAGTTCTCCTAGAGTTTCAAGGACGGCGGGATCACTACCAATGCCTGCCTCCTTAAAGGTCGCTTTTGGAATTTGCAAGGACACGCTGCTTGGAGTGGCAGACTCAGGCAGACTTGGAGCTACCAGTTGGGTGCCAGAAATCGATGACTTCGCTCGGCTGTCCGGACGAACTTTCTGCAAACCAGCCAAGGCCTGCAGAGTGACGCCGTTTTGTTCCTCCAGATTCTGTACTCGCGTCTTTAATTCACACAATGCCGCGTCTAGATTAGGCTCTCCTTTTTCTGAGGCACAACTTGCCTCTTCCGGTAGTGTCGTGGGCATTTCGGGAGGGGGTTCGGGGGTTGCAATCTTTCCGTGTAGATGCTCCAGCTTCGACAGTATTTCACACGAACTTTGACCCAGTGTCGCCAGCCCGGTATTCAACTGCTCAAGCGTACACACTAGTGCAGTCTCGAGGGGATGCGGCGAGCATCCTGATTCTGTTTTGATGTCCCCACGCTGTTTCATTTCCATAATTTCCACGCACACCTGGTCCAGACGTTGCATGATTGGTTCGATTTCTGGCAAACCGAAGTCTACTGACTGCCTGCACGCGTTAGCTGAAAGAATTTCATTGATTTGTTTGTTATGTGCACAAAATTCCTGCCCCAAATTCTCCAGTAATTGTCTTATTTCAAGAAATTCGTCAGAAGTGAGTTCTTTGGGCCGATTTCTAGCTGCGCAGTTAATTGGCCCCTTCCAAACTGATTTTTCCTCAGTCGTTTGAAGGGAAGTTGGTGTGAGGGTCGTCAGACACCGATCAGACGGTACGTTAACTGTCGTACAACATTTCCGCGGACACTGGTTAGCACAAGTAGGATCCCAATTGAAACTGCATGGTGATCTGCTTTCGTTTGCAGGCGAGACTGTTGATCGTTTAACAATTTTCAACATCTCCTCATTATTGTGGTGTAAACTACAGGCCAGATCTCTTAGTGTTTTTCCAATAAACTCCACGGTGTCCAGTAATTCACCCTCTAACTGCTGCTGGGGGTCGTTCCAGGCAGGTCTGTGTGTAGCGCATTGTGTCACGCGCGGAACTCTCAAGCAGCTTTCGGTTTTACTGCTCGAACCTTCGGAGGCGTCTTTTTTGCCAAGGCGTATGCCCTTTAGCCCTCTGGTGAACAACAACTTGGGGTATTCCGTGAGTCCAATTTGCTTAAGTTTCTTCGAAAAATTGCTGATCATAACTGTAAAGGCCTCAACAGAAAGCTGCCTTCCAGAGAGTGACGCAATTTTGGGGGGGAAAGTGAAAATGCGAATGGGAAATTATGCCACAGGAAAGAACATTTTGGCGTAACTGAAGGGGTTCATAGTTGGCTAGAGGTGCCTAAAATGGTGGCCCTCTAAGCCGCGCCGTTACTGCCCCCGGACACGTGACGTAAAACGTGGAAAGCGAGCGTAGGTATTGATCACAAGAGGCGTTGTATGATTGGCTGTTGATAACGGCTGTCTAGTTGGTGGATGTGTCGTTGGAAAGTGGATGACCTTGACACAGAGAGGGAGCTCGCCCATGGAAGCAAACTTTCTGTGAATGGCTCGCTCGTCACCTGAAACGCTCGTAGATGGGACTGATCGTCCTCCGAAGCTCCACTCTATGTTATTCCTTACAGGAAAGGTATACAGCTTGTAGACCGCGCAAATGGGCTCAAATCGGAAGATTGGAAAAGTTTTTTTAAGGAAGCTGAATATATTATTCTTTTAATTATAAAATCTGAATATTACGTGGTTTTCTATTTATGAGAACAGGAAAGTTTATTTTTGATTCCATGTTCTATAAAACATATTTGATGTTAGGAAGGCGGCCAAGGTCGACAGAAGAGACGCTTAATGATGAAGTATTACATTTTTATTTAGTGCAGTTTTCTTATTTTTGAATTAGCCTTGAACTATGCTTGAAAATGGTTACATATTACAACTTCACTTAAGTAATTATTTCTAATCCAAAACGCATGCAAAAATCTTGTTTAACATTTCCTGATTGAACATTAGGAAACTCCTCGATGGGTAAAGATCGGGCTAAATTAGTAAAACAACACATGCTTACTATTACGACATGGATAGACCGCTATACACGGCATACATAGTCTGGTACAAGAACTTAATAGTAAACCAAAACCCTTTAAGTGGATACGACGGTCAGCGAACTTCCAGCCATATTTATATGCAAAGTCTTCATTGTTAGCATTCGAACCGTCTACCGCAATTCCCAAATGCAGTACGCGAGTGGGGGGGGAGGGCGCGGAAAATAAAAACTTCCTCTCCACGGTCTAAAACCAAAAGGGGTTTAATTAAACAATGACTGTAAATAAAAGGTGGTTCAGCAATTAAACCTATTAACACAGAGGAGTACGGAGGGAACGAGTGTTTCGAGCAGTTGGCTAATAGTCATCTACGAAGTGGTCGAGTTTTCTTGTAACCGATTCGAAAGCCTCTCCATTCCGGTTTCTTATCTGACAAACGCTGCGTGGGCGCTTGCCCTGACCCACCACCAATCGGCATCAGAGGAATCCATTTCAGCCTTGGGTTTGACTTCTGTCGTGCTCCGGCACCCGCAGGGAAGTTGAAATTCGCATTAAAGTCAGTTCCGCCCCCACCTCCACCCCCGTCCTCAGCTTCCATCTCCTTCGCTTCTTCAGGAACCGGCGTATTTCTTGGCGCGTATGGAGCTAGGACTGATGACGTACGCTTGACCCCTGTGCCGAGAGAACTCTTGCGGACCGAGGACGCCCGCTTTTGTCCGACATTCATCGCAGTCATGACACTCCCTCGCGGAAGTCCTTCG